TTAATAAATTCGTCATAGTTTTCTTTATCCTTCGGTACGACCACTTATCTCTTTCATATTATTTTAGAAGTGAAACATCTTCTCTGAGATTAAGTGTTGGTTTTTAATTAGTAAAATAAAATAGCACTATCTAAAAGGTAAGGTTAGGTTAAATTTGGTAAGGTTGTTATTGTTTTATATTTAATTATCTTTTACGATGATGTGACACATTATATAACATACATAATAACATAATATATTTAATAACTTATATATTAACATTACATGTTTAATAACCGATATGATGTCTCGTGTTTATCACGATCTTATGATAACCTTATCATAGTCTTATCATTACAACAGTTATAACCCCTTACCCCCTCCAGCTATTTCACTAAACCTTAATTCTACCTACACCTTAATACGTAAAGGAAGTTTTATGATCCCTTCCAACAAATAGTATGGTATGAAGTGAATTCCTCCTCTATTTAGAAAAAAATACCTTATACCTACTAAAATGAACTACCTGGGTTTTTCCACCAGTAGGAGCTTATGGTCCTAAGTTCGCTAAACTCGTAGCATCATATCTCTCTCACGAGGTTAAATTATAATGCTATTATTAATTTTCCTTTTTCTTATTTGTTCTAGTACCAATTGATAATGATCGTAAGTTTTAAAATTTCCTGTAATTTTTAATATAATATAGACCATGCTTTACAAGTTCATAATGTGATTGTATTGGAGAATATTGTATATTTATTAGAATATAAACAATAAATATGTATCAGACCATAATTTTTGTTGATCTTTTAAAACTATAGATTTTGCTTTAACAATCCATAATGTTATCTTTTAAAACTTTTCTTTTTCTAATGCTCTAGTTTTCAGAATTCAGTCCAAATTTTGGTTTACTTATAAAAAATGTCATACAAATTGCAAAAATGCATTGAATGTTGGGTATTTTAATTTATCGTTTTCCCAATATTATTGTAATGAACAATTTTATGTAAAACAAGACCATTATCAAATACCGTACTCAATAAATGAGAAAACATGGTACGTATTTCTCCAACCCCTCCTCCCCCGAAAACTTTTCAATTTTTCTTTCACCAATTACTTAGTTCTTATTTTCTAAGAATTTGTACAAAAAAAAACCTTATGTTTATAAGATAATAGTTTCAGAGGGATTCGCGAAACACATTTTTCACTTTACAAGTATTTTTAATTGCTAGCAGTGTTTACTTTACAACAGAAGAAATAAATAATACGTTAACAAGAGCTGAAAACTTGGATGTATCTGTTATACCTACTGTAGTTTAATAGCTCATAGACACACAAATATATTTTATAATACGTCTATAATTTAGGCACGATTAATGTATTATGGTATAAAATGATCGCACGAGTCACCAAAAACTGGCCACAAAGGTTCTTATGAAAAATGAATATCTCTATGCCTCGTGTTGCGATCTAGTTTCAATTATCACCATAGTTCTAATACTGTATGTTATAATATATGCTATATACACTTTTGTGACAATAATATGTTAATTAAATAATGATTATTCTCATAATTTAGTAATATATCTATTTCACTAACACAAAACACTCTATGCCTAGTACAGTGTTACATTAATCTTTAAATATGTGTATGTTAATTTTGCATGTATAGGTTTAATAATAAATGATTGTGTATGTATAATAAAGCAAAAAAAAAAAAAAAATATATTTACCAATATTTACACCTAGACTGTATTAGTAGATCCAACAACAATCATAATTAGTATTGCAAGTAAACTTTCCATTTAATAATTAATATACATTTTTCTGTAGAATAAATTATTATGTAGTATCTGAACAAATAAATTAAGGTGAATATTTGCAAATAGATGCAAGTATTTTTTATTTTTTTTTTTCGTTATGTTTACTTTTTTTACTTCTTGGTTTTTATAAAACTATATTGACTCATCTTTATAATTAAATATTTTATAAAAAATATCTGTTATTATTTCTGTTTTATATATATATATATATATATATATATAGCATACAGTAAGCATAATAGACATAGCATAAAATGTACCGATGCAAAAAATATGTAAATATACACGGGTGTTATGACCAGCGTGGGAAGTTCGTCCCAGAGAAAATCTCGGTAAAACACATCTGCCTGGCCCTTGTTTCAGGTCCTCTTTTATATTGCTCGTTTGAGTGGCGTTATCCAAGTTGGTGTTGTTATTGATTGATTGAAAATAAGCTCTCGCCGCAACCGTTGATTTCATATTCTAGGAATACCTATTTAGAGCGGGCGTGTACCAACTAGCATTATTATTATATTATATCATACTATTTGATATTATAATAACACTGATGCGCAATTATATGAAATACACGTACAAATATGCACCGCACATAACAATACACACAATCTTTACGTTTAAGCTAGATCGTCGCTGGGGTATATAATATTTCAATTAAATTATATAATATCATGGTCGTAATAAAATAATATAAATAAGAAATTATTATTAACCGAATAATTTAATAGATATTTGTATTATATTTTATGTGCAAATAATATTTTACGTAATATTACGTAATAATATTTTATAAAATATATTTTACGTGCAAATATTATAACTAAAATATAATTGATTGTATACAATAAGCTATGATTTTAAAATGTTCTGCTTCTTTTTTCACTCTAGGGGGCAAAAGTAAGTGTATTTTTTAATATCTAATTATAAAAGTCTATACTAGGATAATTAAGTGTGAAATTTCTTAGTTTAAGAGTATAACTTATAAGTATAAAACTGGTATAATTTTTATTTTGCATCGGTTTATGTGTAAAAATTGGTTTCACGCTCTCAGCGAGGTTTAAAACTAGTTTAAACTTCAAATCGATTTTACGCATTAAACTAGATTTATACCTAGAGTTGACTCCACATTTAACAGATAGCTATTGGTTAATTGGCTGCATCCGAATTGGTTTCCAAATTGTTTTGACATCAATTTCAATTTGTATTCCTATATACAGATATATATATATATACAGACTTAGAATTGTTATTAAATTATTTATTTGATATATTAGAAGCCTTAATATTTTGGCCAACGTTGGTACAATACAACACCGACTAGCATAAATAATTATTTAATTCTAGCCCTTGAGCAATTATGATTTCGATATCAAATTTAATCAAATCCCAGGGAATAATTTTTGCTGTGAATTTATTTATTCAAATATTATCAAAGCACGAGTGAAAATATAATTGACAGAATTTTATTAAAAATGATTTTTAATTAATGTTTTTTTTTTTTTGATATTACTGATATTGATATATCGCAAGCCCACAAATAAAATATAATCTAAGTAATATTGCCTTATTATTTATTACTTATTACAAAGCTTGTACAAAATATTATTTTATGAAATATAAATTTGATGTATATACAGGCTATGTAAAATAAAAAATATGTGTGTAAAGATGTCAATTGACAGAATTTTATTAAAAATACCAGAAACTAAACTAAAAAGGAAAATACGACGTAAAATGTCCAAAAAATGTACCTTAGAAATGAAAAATTTAAAAAAATGCAAAATAAAAGTTTCATAAATTAATTTGTTGTTACATAATTCAAATTATGTCCTTAGAAAGCTACGTTTTCTATTCAGCTAAAAAAATGCAGTTTCCTACAAATTCACAGCCCTAATGATTAGTCATGTTGATATAATATATTAATTTGTGAAAATCGATGGACTATTTAATATAAAAGAAAATAGTGTATAGACAAAAGGATTGACGAAATTGTTGTAAAATCCGGAGATTTTAAATAATTAGTAAAAAGGAAAAGATTTTAGTGAAAATTTATTAAAATTGTTTATTTCTTGAATTGCCAATTTTCAGTTTCTAGATTGTGTTAACCAAATTCAGTTGTTGTTTTTTTTATTATTATTTGTTTGTTTGTACGAATAAAAATATACAAAATATAATTGTTATTAAATGTACTAAGTTATTAGTATGTTTCCCCATTAGGAAGGTAAAGTAATTGTTACAACTAGAAAATCTTAATATCGGCACATACTAAAAAACCGTTCGTTGATATTGTCATTGTATAATTTGCTTGAAGGCATAATTGCATATTATGTGACAACACTGATAACGGTGTAAATCATTACAAAACGTTTTATTCCATGCAGGTAGTATGTTCAAATATTATTGAACACTGTGTTATATTGTTTACCCTTCAAGTGGTATTTGAGCTTTATGTATAGGCAACTAACCGGATACGGTCATAGTACTTCGGTTTAATGGCCAGGGACTAAAATATATAAGGTGATTTATTAAGAATACATTTTGATTTTTGGAATTTTATAGTGTAGTTAAATCTAATATTATCGAATACTTAGACTTTTCACAACATTTATGTAGTATCTTGTGGCGATGACTACTTTGATTTTTTCAAATGAGAACTTATTAAAAATTCCGTAAATAGACTGAGTATTATTTTGAATAAATTTTATTGAAAACATTTTTGATTTTCGTCAACTTGTTAACGAGATTATCCATTTTTAAGTTTTTGTTGGAGGAGAGTAGATGTGATAGAGTAGTAGAGAGTGATGTGTCATTTGTGTGGCGTCACGACGCCTGACGTTTTATTTGTGCTACACTAATCTCTCCATTCTATACTAAAAAGTGAAATATCTCATCGAGTTGATTGTAACCAAAAATTTCAACATCAAAATATATTTAAAGTAATATTCTATCTATTTGTTAAATTTTTAATGTAGGTTCTAATTTAAAAAACCGAAATTGGTATCACCACTTGATACTCCTTAAATGCTGTGAAAAATCTGAGTATTCGAGAGTACCAGCATTAAATACACTTAAAAATTTCAAAAGTCAGAATTTTAATGTATTCAAAATTTAGATAAAAAAAAAAAAAAAATGGGGTGAGCACGCTTAGTAAATGATTCTATATTTATAATATATACGTATAGTGTATATATAATGAGAATTAAATTGTAACCGAATATTAAACTGGAATATTATTATACAATTAGCTGAGATATTTAAAAAAATATATTATATAACTAATTTGTATTTTTTTCCTTTAGGGTCAAGATTCCAAGCGGCGGGTAAGTGATTTTTTAAAATTACGTATAGTTTTCAAAATTGGTCATACTCTCATACTGTCAGAAATTATATAAAACACGGAATATTGTAGAATTAGAATAATATTAATAGCAAAATTCAATATCATAATTTTAATGTTAAAAGCCTTATGGAAATTATTGTTACAATTTATAATAAGCCTATAATAATTTTAAAAAATATATACATTTTTAAACTTTTAAATTTTTCACTTGATACTTTACACAGTCTTCTTATTCATCACCACTATCAAAATATAAATATTTACTTAACTATCAAATATATATATATATATATATATATATATATATATATATATCAAACTATGGTAAAATAATAACATAATATGCATCAAATATTTTTTTTAGTAATATTTTTGTAATATTTTATTTATTTTTTCGTTTTTTCCCGGGTTTCCCCATTTATTGGGAAAATTCCTGGACAAATCAAAAAATGACCTCCCTTAAGTACTACTCCAGCCAGATTTCAAGAAAAAGTACTATTGTCTATCATTGTAAAACGGAGACAAATTGCTGAAGGAAAAGTTATCCACAGGAAAAAAAAATCGTAATATTTTTTTTTACTAATACGTATAAGTCGTACATTTTCGGTTTTCCCTACTTTTTTTCCCGGTTTTTCCCAACTATTGAGAAAACTCCTGAGAAAGTAAAAGAATAATCTCCCTAAAGTACCATGTGGATAACATTTTCTGAGAGAAAATATGTTATCAGAAATATTTTTGTGCTTAAATGATTTCTGATAATTTCATGTTCGGCTAAAATACAGTTCAGCTGTTTTATAGTCCATCGTATATACGGCCAGTATATTTATATTGAATTAATTAATTGTACAGATAAATAAGCAAAATCTTCTATGAGTTGATATTCAAAATTAAATTTATTTTTTTTTCTAGTGGGACAGTCTAGTCATACCGGACAACGTGAGTAATTTTATTTTTTTATTATTCTAGGCAGTTTTAAAAACTAAATAGTTAACTATACAAAACTATATACAGAATGATTCATTTAGCGTCCTCCCCCTAACTTTTTTAAGCAGGGAGTGGGCAGATTCCCCGTCTTGCTCCTCTTTCGGGAGCCCATTCTCACATAGTACCTCCACCTATTATAATAGGCGATAAATAGATAATATTTATAATAGCAGGTGGTATAGCTTTAATATGATAAGTAGGAGTAAAACAGAGTATGAGTTTAGAAAAACAGGACAAGACAGCTAAAGTAAATAAGTGATTATAGGCAAGATTGAGAGTTTTATATACTTGGGATGTTTTGTATAAAAAAACGATGGCTTTAATGAGAATATGAACCATAGGATTAAGTGTAATTTATGTTATCTTATTTAATTAATATCTGTATACAATCTTTTGCTAACGAAAAGCAGTTCTGAATAGATTTTTCTTATACATACTTTGTAATGCAGTAATTTTTACGAATTTCGTCATTATTTGATATTAAAAAGCTTGACTCAAAACTACTATTTACATAATTTCCATTTTTTTTTTACCATTTATAATAAATCTCATATTAAATTTATAAAAATGTATATTCCGTCAAGCAATATCATCTACATTTAACCAAACAAACACAATATTCTTCGGCAAATGAGTATAAACTAGCTTCACTTAATGTGGTTTCAGTTTTTGGATATAGATTCATCACTAATTCATGTAGGTGCCACAATATCCGTGTTGTGTTAAAACTTTTATTTATGCATTAATCTAATTAAATTGCTGAAATTAAATTCTAACCTTACTATTTGTATGACGAATAAGAATGTTTTAAACTATTCGATTTCTGTATTACAATCTTTCTTCATTATTATTCGAATTTATATAATATAAAATGAAATTTTAGTTCTGGAATATAATTTACAAAGAAAAATTAATAATACTATTATCATTTAACTTGGTACCTAATAGGTCTGTACGGAACAACTTTGGCGTGATACTGGGCCTCTTTAGTTAGGAATTACACTGTATCAGGTTGCTTAGGGCCGGCCAATTGACCACGGAGCATAGGTATGTTGGTATTTTGGTAGCCGAGGGAGCACAAGTTTTTAAATCATGAGACGGTTTTTTTTTTTAGACATTTATTTTTTATGTAAAAAACTTCGCGATGATATTTTTTAATTATGATCAAAAAGTATAACCATTGGTAAAACAATTAAAATACATTTAAAAAGAAATTAAAAACACATATATAATATAGTATATTGTTGAAAAAAATAAAGTGTTTATAAATCCATTCTTCTCGCATATAGTTTTAATACTTTAAAAGACTCAATAATATCATCTAAGTTTATACTTCTTTGCAATTCTTGCTCGATACTGATGGTTTTAAAGAAAAAAAAGTATATTGTTTTTAAAAAAACGTGATACAGATATCGCATTGTCTCGGAACTTTTTGTGGTCGAATCTGCATCACACCATGTCACATGACTGATTCACCGTTAAGTGTAAAACATGTTTTGTTAAAATTAGTTTGGCACTGGCAATAACAAAGTGCACGATGGTTAACATTTAGTATAAATCCATCATCGAAAACAGAATATTATTTAGACTAATAGTCTTATGGTCGATTTTAATAATCTACTTTTACTATAAAAAAAAAATCATTATAATAATTAATAATAATAAAATTAATTGATAATAATTATTAAATCAATAATATATTACATTTTAATAGTTTATAATTTTACGCATTATTAATATTCTTTTTTTAAACTTCAGAACAAGATCAAGCAGGACCTATATGTAAGTTTTTTGTTTTATTATACAATGTAGTTATCATAAGAAAACCTACAGAGTAAGAGTCTAGAGAGTAGCCAATTTGATAATATTTTTTTATTAGTTACAATGTTATAAGCATACAATTAGTTTATCAATAATATAGTGATCCCTTATAAGAAATAATGAAAATAAGACGACTTCTCTCTTATAAACTATATTATTTTATTTATAAACACTTTATGTTATTCAGAAATATGGTATAATGATATTAATTCTGTTCTTTTTTTTTTTCTTATAATTTTTAATATTGGTCATACTTAAGATGTTTATAATGCGATTGTTAGGTATGATTAACATTGGCATTCATTTAAAAGAGGAATGTTAAAAACAATAACGACAAACTGAGCTATAAGTTTTGTTGATTTTCTAAAACTTTATTGTTCTTAGGCTCTATTAATAATTAAGATATCGTTTCAAATTTATATTTTAATAGCAAAAATTGTTTTGAATAAATGTTGAAATCTGTTGAAACGGTAGTCCAGTAGTCCCTAAATATTAAATAACATATTCATATTCATATATCTATTACCCACTTTCAATAACATTTAGATATATTTTATTTTTTGGTGCAATTTGATGAAAATAAAAACTTAGGTTAAATTGAATCCCAAAAATTACTTTTCCAAAAAAAAAATTACACTTTACTACTTTCATAAATGTTTTGGCATAAAATACGTTTTGAATGGAAAATTGTTAACTAGCTGGGTGCTAAAAGGACATTTTCATGGAAATAACATTTTTATACATTTTTTTTTTTTTTTTTTTTGGATTTAGCAACCTGTGTAATATTCAATTGTGATAAAAATTTTAGTTTGACATTTTAAAAATATAATGCAAGAAAAGCGTTTACGAAATTGTGTATATAAATAATTTTTTGCATAGAATCATGTATTATATTCGTTATATATTTGTTAATAATATTGTTTTAAGTGAATTTCATTATTTAAATCATTTTTTAAATAACATTACGATTGATAACTTTTTATTTTTCGTTGTAGATTATTTTGATAATACACGTTTCTATTTTATTAGAAACTTTATTTAGAATTAGAGCACCCAGTTTGCGCATGTACGTTTAAATATTTGCACGCTGTCGGATCGCCTAAACCCTCACCACCAAACTGGTAATCGCCGCACGATTTAAGATATACTGGTTCTCCAATGGGCTATGAAATTGTGAATACAATATTACTCGGATGATAAAACAATTTTGTAGAGCTCGTAGACAGCAGTGGAATATTTATATAGGCTGTCCCACGAAGATATACCCCATCAGTTTTAACACCTAGTCTGTAAACTATGTTATATCGCTATAGCAATTCATAAAATATGATTGTGAATGTGAAAATTTTATTTATTAGTGATTACAATTTACGATTAGATTAATGACTAAAACTTCAGTCACAACTAACAAACTAAAGTACAAAATTAATATAATACATATATATATATATATATATATATATGTATATTAAACGTATAAACACAAAAAATAGTCTCACCTTTAAGTTTTGATAATAAGCCAATATACTCCGATACTTAAATTAACGGCACAAAATAGGTTAATATATAAATATAATAAGATTAACCGATTTCACATTTACTGTAACATATACAATTGTTATGTGAACGTATAACATACGACTATCTAGTGGCTAATAAATTTAGTAAATTAACTCTGCGTGAATTGATAAAAAATAGTTTAAGTTATATTTTTTCAGGTACTATTAAAATAATACAATAGAGTATAGTGAATTAAAAAATATCATATCATTTATTATACAGAACACATACAAATTTTAAATTACACTTTTGGAATCTGTATACATATTATGTTATAAAAAAAATTAAAATAATTATAATAACAATTAACAATAACATAATTTTGAATTAAAACTATTGAAATAAAACCAATAGTATAGTCAACAAAAAACTTTTATAAATTAATAAATTATAATGTAAAACCTTGTTATCGTTAACACTGGTTAAATACGCTGCAGATAAAAAATGTAATATATTATCATATATTTTTAATTGAGCGTATAGGTAGTTATATTACATGCAGTAATTTTTTTGGATAACTTTAGTGTTGGAAAAGTAATCATGGAAATAATAGTCACAATTACGTTTATCAAACTATTCAAACTATAGGTACCTTAAAGTTGATCAAACATTTTTCCTAAATTAAGTTACATTACAAATTTTTCACAAATCTCACGCTTATGAACGTGCAACAGAAACGTTGCATTAAAATTGGGTAGGTAGAACATATGCAATCGTAATAATGAAAAATATTCGTACGCAATCGTAACGCACCCATTTTCATAGACAGAGAGCGCACTAAACTAGTTAATCAGCTGTTCCTGAGAGAAAATTCAATTGCCATGTGATAACGCTTATAACATAGCACGTTGAGCAACCAGTTTATCATTAATCGTGAATCGTCGACTATGTGCCGTATGTGCATGAAGTCAGGCACGTTTTCGTACTATCGTTTTTGCCCTATCGGGTGTGCTCTTATTTTGAATAGAGTATAGTAGTCCCGTGTTCTCGTTGCTTTGTTTTATGTCGTTATTTGTGTTTATTGAATAACAGTTATAAAATAAGTTTCGACACAATGAGTATAGATTCAGATATACAAGTTATACAATTTCGGTTCTTTAATCATTTTAATTTAAATGGATAGGTAAATATTTTTTTAATGCAATAAGGGCATTTTCATGACCAAATATCTCATTTATTTAGTTTTGTGATTTCAAAAAAAAATTATGTGAAGACATAATTATTCTATCTTTCATCTTCCACAAATTTAAAACCATGTGAACTACAATATTAAATGAGTAGGTAATATAGAATCTTTAACTTCATTTATCTAAAAACCCGTTTTTCGTGACACTTCCTATAACAGTGGCCTCTCCCATCCACAGTATCAGCTATTATTTAATAATATTATTTGTGTAATTAATTAAGTTAAATTTATCAACAGATGTAACTTATTATTCGACATTTAATTTTTGTCAACTTGCTACTGCCTATATTTGGTACATACCTGTTATAATATTATATAAGCTGTGCAGATTGAATTCTAATTAATGAAAATTAACAGTTATAAATCAAAGGATATTAGATGATAGGCATGCATCTATAAGGAACGTACACACTATAAGTGGTAAGTAATTTGTTAGTAATTCGTGTAGTTTTAAAAATCGGTTATATTTTGAAAGTATTTATTCTGCGTTTATTTATGGTTATACATAAAATCGAATTTTTAATAGTAGATAAGTACTTATAAATAATATAAATAAACAGTCATCGAAATATTAAGCACGTTGTAGTTGTTAGGTCGATTAGGTTGTTAGGGCGATTGTTATTTGGCTTAACCACAGTCACAAATAGCAATCTTCATCATTATATGAAAAATATTTTTTAATTATTATTTTTTAGTCTCTACCAGTGGTTCCCGACCTTTTTTATTCCACGCCTCCCTTGTAATTTTTCAAAAATCTCACCCACCCCTTTTAAATTATATTAGATTATTAGAGTTTAGACAACCTTTATTTTAAACTAAATGTTTTTTAAATACATTTTACAAAATAACTACAAACTATTTATGTATTTATATTTATTTTAAAGCCATTTTTAATTGTTTACCTCTACTCCATAGCCTATCTATAACCCTTCCCTACTCTACAGTTTTAAAATTTAAACTGCTATAAGTTATAACTTATAAACGTTAAATCTGATATTAGTGTTATGAATATTAACATTTCTAGAAAAAAATGTTTTATTCAAATTTGAGTACAAAAATGGAAGTTCCTATTTGAAAATCAAAAGTATGTACTTATTCAAGGTCTATGAAGTGGACTATGAAGTAGGGGTAAAAAATTAAAAATGGTTTTAAAATAAAGCTTAAACGATTCCATAGTAATAAGAAAAAACAGAAATCAAATTCACTTAAAAAAACTTCGAAATAATTGCTGGTTCATAATAAAAAAATGACTATGAATATTATAATGGTATTATTATTCATTTTTTTTGTATTTATTTTCACTCCAGGACGAAAAAGTAAGTTAATTGTTTAATATTCCATATTGTATTAAATACATTTTTATATACTTTTAAAATATATTCCAAATGCGGTAGTTAGATTTGAATAAACTACTCATACCAATTTTATAGGTTTATTTATTAGGCCCTTATTTAGTATAAGGGCTGTTCTTACCAACGCAAAAAAAAGGTGTTTATCTGATTCTTAAATTGAGTTTATGGCTGATAACCGACCACGATTGGTCAATTATATTATAAACTCTGTTTAAATATCAACGTTTACGTTTATGAGAGCCTTAGAGTGTAAGCAATAGAGATAAACGAGGTTTTAATATCGAATTGGTTTATTGTATGGGTGAATGCTCACTAAGCGGATTTTAGTTTTCTGATTTTCTTTTTCACCGAGATAATGTACATAACGTAAATATATAATTCCGTATATTTATTCTATATGACAGTAAAATTCCGTACATTTGCCATACATATTCGTTTGTAATTTCTCTGTTTATACGTTTTGAGTGGCTACACCGGCTCAAATCCCTTCATGATTTCGGCCAATGCAACGCGCGCAAAGTCGGATTTCACAATGCAATTCGGCAGATCTTGTCCGGAAACTAGAAAGACGGTAAATGAGATGAAGTAGAAAAAGAAGAATATTATATATTTCTATTTATAAGGGTTAATAAATAATATTATGAAAACTGATTTAAATGTAAATTGTTTCTAGTATTCATAAAGTTTTATTTATATTTTATTGATGGTGGGCAAAATAATATATTTATCCTCCTATGATTTGAACAGGAGAAAAGTCCTTCCTTGCTTCGGCACGACTAAATAATACATACAATTATTATTTTTACACTTTTAATAAATTCAATTTTCTTAATAAATCTTGTATTTGATACTTGTAAAATCGTTTGATGAATGTGAATATTTTAAACTAGAGATATTTTGCATAAATTATTTGTTTATAATAACTTACACAAAAATCGAAGACAGAGTTTTAGTCAAAAAATAATATTAAATCACCCTGTCTGTCTAGGCCCTTGTCTATATCCTAAACTCTAGGGTATAGACTAGTTGTCAAGTAATGATATCAATTGAAGTTGAGATCCCTCGGGTATTGTATGAATTTGTAATAATCAAGATTAACGTATTGATGAAAGAAAAAGAAAATAGAGTACCTACCTTGTGGCTATTTGGTAATCAATACAAGTAAATTTAATAAATTTTGTTCAATAACCAATAAATTATTAGTTTAATTTTCTCAACAAATTAAAAAATATGTACTTTCACTAATTTTTTATTTCATTAAAATAGACAGTGTGCCGGGTGCCGGGTATAGTCCTGAAAACCATAAATTATTACGCCGAGTACTTAGTATTGGCCGAAAAATAATTCACATATCTACCGAGTACTGAGAGCTACATTTAAAGTCCTACAAAAATAACCTTTTCATCTGAATTTAAAACATACTATAAACTCCTATGTCATAGTCTAAAGTTGTCAACTTTCAAAATGTGTGATGTGGGAAAATTTGTTTCATTCATGTCTTACTTTATAATATCATAGATATAGGTATCTATAGTTAAATGAATCCTAGTTTGGTAGCCTAATTTAATGAAAAATGCAAAATCAGTAGAATAGGTTTATTACGAGGTATGACTTTTAACAAAAATATTCCACATTTTATTTATATCTTTTTTTTTAAAATATTTATTTTCTGTTTTAACTTAGAGAATTTAGTTAACATACTTACAAATTATTAAATAAGCAAATTATTAGTAAATAGGTAGGTTAGTATTAGAGTTAGTTTAGGTATATTTTCAGTTTTTATTCCTGTGAAAAATAAAAAAAAAAATTGATTGTATTTATTATCTTCGGAGATATTATAATAGATACCTATATCTTTGTGGTACACCATATAAACAGTGTAGACTAAATTTTTACTTATTAAAACACACAGGTAGACCTGTGAGATTAAATGGAACATCGGGTAAGTAATTTTTTTTTTAGATATAGCGTGTACTTTTCAAAGTTTGTTATATTTTTAGAATTTTGATTATGATTGGTCGTTATACAGATAAACAGCTATAGCTTTTTTACTTACATAGTCACAAAAATCAATCCTTATCAGTTATAGATATTTTTTTTAGTTATTTATTGTTATTTAAACTGAATATAAAAACTTAACGAAGAATAGTTCTACAATAAATAAATATATATATATAAATTAAGTAAATTTTAATAGTAGTTAAATCAGTTTTTTAATAAATTCTATTATAAGAGAATTTAATACCTATTACTCTGACAAGACCGTTCAAACTATAACACAATTATGATGACTACCATGAAGAACTCAAGCAGAAATTACGCGAAGCTCATCACATAGCTCAAGATCATCTAATAGGAAATAAGTGCAAAATCAAAGCATGCTATGATCAAACATCGAACCCAATAGCTATTCATGTCCACAACAAGTCACTTATTCAGAATAAGACTCGAAAGGGAAAATTAAGCCCTCTATATGGTTAGGACCAGAACGTGGTATTGGAAGTCAAAGAAAACGAAAACATGTCAATACAATAGGGAAGACGGTAAACCAAAATTCATAAAAATCTATTGAGACTATTCAGGGAATAGTCCTCAGGAAAAAACTCGGATAAAAAAAAACACATGTATACATATAAGTAAATATAACATTATTAACACTAACATTGGTTGTCTCGATTCTATTAATATGATCCTCCATTTCCGCTTTGATAGACTACGTAAGTCATCAACACTGTAAATAATATTTCACCTCTTTCTAATATACTTACAAAACGTGTGCACCTATACCTTGGTGACACTACTTAACTACTGATATCGTTCGTCAACAACTATCTTATGATACTAACGGAATTAACTACAGGTGGATACAAAAAAAAAAAAAAAAAAAAAAAAACAATGTCTGAATACAATCTTTTCTTTTTTCTAAGTGTTTTATTGGTCCTGTTTCATTAAGTCCAGCAACTGTAAAATATTAAATCCATCAACAAAACTGGAGTAATATATCAAAGAGAACGGAAAATCAACACCATCACCGGGGAATTTAAATTGTTGACTTACATCAATATAACCGACTATGAGCAAAGTCATCAGTCGATCCAACTCGAGTATATCCTTTTGGCAGCCCTATGCAATAAATTAAAGCAAAATCCGAGCCGCACCACGATTTTGGAGAAGAGCGGTTGGATAAAAACCACTACCCATATTACGATGCAAGCGCAAAGAGAACTCTTCAACACTCTGTTGAACATGATAAACTCTACCAAATATGATCATCTAATGTACTAAGTTCATCGAAGCCAAGAAAGGAATTTAACATCTCAGACAATCTATACGAAGCAATTAGACCAGTATCAGACGTCAAAAACATAGCCTCTTACATCAAGAAATGTGTAACCTTATATATTGTAAATAATATTTTATAATAATTAAACTTTTTTGTTAAGCTAATAACCACTGTAGTTGATGCTATAAACATAAAAAGACCAAAGACAAGAGATTTTTAAAACATTATTATTTATATTTTATCACTAGATATTATTAGTTTACCTTTTTTCTACAATAATAATATTCTTGACAAGAATCGAACTCCGTATACACCTAACCGTTTGTACTTTGCCATTTCCGTCTCTTGTAACCATTGATAACATGTATGATAACTAACATATATCACTCGCTAATACGAGTCCTCACACAAGGTCTACCTATAACGTCGATCCCGTGATGACGGCTGATACATGTATAAACCGTTATTGAGTACCTACTCGTTATCATTATTGTACGATATATAGGTATATAGGTATTATTTTATAAATATTATGATATTTTTCGTCCCCGTGCTCGCGTTATCCCGCCCGCAAACCCTCCCACTAAACATATATTGTGAGTGTATATTAATAAATTATTATCATTATTTTTCCAAATAATATTTATTTTTTTAAAACGTTATTATTTAATGATTTATATTTTGCGAGCACATTAGTGTATATATTACATAACAGACCATTAGCAATCATTATTTGAAAATTTAAGCTCCTAATATAATAATAATATAAACCGGATATTCCAATGGACTTTTAAGCATACTATTTATTAACAATTGTTTGTATACAACAATGGATTTTTCACAATAATGAATTCAAACCATCTATTTCACAGTTATGTCAAGACATGTCTGAGTTGGAAAGTCTCTTACCCTCCCTCCATTATAAATGTAGACATTTCGACCTGTGAGAGTACTAGTAGATGAATATCTATCCGTCGAATATCATTATCCGTCTCATAGTTGTAGAAGAAAGTCGTCTAACAGTGCTTATTTTTTCGACTGTAAATTTTAGATTCTGAGTGGAGCGAAGAAGCTTATAATTTTACAAAGATGTTTATTTTTTTTTTTTAATCTGTGCATAACTTTTCTACTAGAAGACTTGCTCAGATTTCTGAGTGTAGCACCTTTTCTGAAAGAAAATCAGCGTGGGGAGATACTTGGGAGTTAATTTAAACACGTTAAATAAGTTTAAAAAATTTCACTAGGGAGGTACTTTAAAGAAGTCATTTTTTGATTTTCCTAAGAGTTTTCCCAGCAAATATAAAAAACGGGATAAAATATTTGAAAACCAGGAAAAATGGGTACAACATTAAACAAATATTGTTAAATAAAATGTATAAAGTTTATTTAATTGTTTACTATAAGATGACATAAATATATTGTTGACAAAGAATCACTATCAACTGAACTACGCTCAGAATTATTTTTTCGTAAGCAATGGTTTATCGTTGCTTACAGATAAACATTAAAGTATTATATATAACAGTGATTGCACCCGTCCCTATTATCCTTGGGCTTTTTTACCAAGTTTTTTAAATATAGCTATTTTATACGAAACAAATGTAGATGCAAGCAAGAAACAATTATAAAAATATGTTGCACCAGTACCGCCAGCGGACCTAATCGATTACAATAACTATACTTTGAGTTTCAGGGAACGTTTCAGGGAAGTTCGTGAAAATGTGCATCAACCCGACAGACATGATCGCCATTAAAATACAAATAATAACTCCGTTGCGGTACATAAGTACCAGTAACGTAGATATTATACCTCGTATATTTTCACTGATGGATGAAATCCTATCTATCATACTTGACACACCGAAATACAAGTCACATATATTTTTTTAAACGTCGATATTCAAGTTATCACCTATGATTTACAAAAAGGAAACCATCCTTATAATGGAATAAAAAAATGTGACCGGTTGCAACATCCAATTACATAGACGGAATTTTTTCGCTTTTCAAAGTTTCAAAGTTTGGAATGGTGCATTTTCGAGAAGATTGAACGAAAAACCGCCATCAATCTTCAACATTTTTAAAACAATTCAACCAGATTAGTCATTATATAGATCATAAGTTCTCAAACTTATTTCATCCACCGCCCATTTTGAGAATCTAACATTTTCCAGTGCCCTCCAAAATATTTTAATTTACCATCTGTTATGCGTTTTACAAGAAGATATTACAATTATGATATATAAAAATGTCATATTCTTTTTCTGAATTCTAACATAAATTTTAAATGAATTTTTTGGATGACAGCAATTAAAACGCATACTTATTTATATTTAAAAATATTTTTATTAAAACCAAAAATTTATTATTAACATGAACATCATATTAAAAGTATTGTGATTAAAATTATGCGATGAAAAAAGTTACAAATTAAAAATTAAAAACTTATAAACTCATATACACTAATAAAAACGGTGATATAAAATATGCGAAAACGGAGAGAAAACTAGGAAACTTGTCTGCGGGTTTGTAGAATTATTACTAACGATCGATCGCTCGAATGTCAGTGACCATAAGTAATATAATTCGTTATCGATAACAGCTATTTGTGTGTGTGTGTGTGTACGCGAATAAATAAGAACTGTGTTTTCATTATTGTTGACCTTTGTAACTGTCAGTCGATAATACCAACAGTTATAACAATTATTATTTTGTTGTTGACAAAAATCTATGCATATATTAACAGGAAAACGGTATGCGACGATAATTATGTAATATCAATGAAAATACATATTAAATAATATATTTGTGTAGGTACTTATAATTACGATGTAGATGATGATAGTGTAGCGGGTAGTGCGGGGTGGTTTAGGTTTACGGCGGGCAGGATAACATGCGCGGAGGTAATATTATATAAACTTATAGGACTTATAGACAAATCACGACCTTTGTAACGGCGGCCGCTTTGAGAAATACGGTATGTGCTAGCCGGCGGTCGCATAATAGCTTTTGCGAGCAGAGAAAACGTTAGATCTTACAGGAATGTACAGATCTACGACCATCAACGTTTCTAGTTACTAATGACCATTTCGGTTTTGTAATAATTTCCATAAAATAATATTTAACTGTAGCGATAAGCATGGGTAAAAGGTCAGTGGAGTAACAAGTGCACGCCGTCGCGAGGAGACAAAAAATATCATAATACTTTTAACATAATATATATATAATAATAATAACCAGCTGCTATCACGGGGTGGACGTTACAGGTGGACTTAATATGAGGACTCGTATTAGCAAGTTATATAGGTTAGTTATCAATAGTCACAAGAGTCGAAATGGGCAAAATACAAACGGTTAGGTGTATACTGAGTTCGATTCTTGTCCAGAATATTATTATTGAAGAATAATTATTTAAAAATCTCAGGTATATGATAACAAAATAGGTATAAAAGTAGGTAAAGCATGTGATAAAAGTAAAAATTGGTCGAGTAAGTAGTTGATAATGTAGAAAAAAAAATATTTGGAAAAGGGGGCATGGTTGAAATAGGTCAATGAAGAGGTGAACAATTCGGGCTGCCATATTAAAGTATAGCTCCTTGATCGTGATCGTGTCTCGTGGATGAGCGGCCATGTATTGGGTATAGCTCCTGGCTCTTGTTCCTGCTCTTGGGCAGAATCTTTCTTATCATTCTACTTATACCTTTTTGCATATGGCTCCAACAAATATATAAATATTTATACTGATAAGTACCTAAAATAAACAATAACAATAATACATTTTAAAATATAAGAATAATAATAAAATAAGATAATTATAGTAAACAAAAACCGGGTCCAAAACCATTTTTTATTCTATGCTGCCTTTGTTCTTGGTATACCACATCCCCTCATGATTATTCTACTATTCGCTCCTCCACTAAGTATTCCTCCTAGCCACTCGTTGAATTGATGCTGGTATTTCATTTATGTCATCACTTATTAGTGGTAAAGTTGATATTTCCGAGCTATACACATCAATTAAAACTCATCCCATATACAGGATGCTCCGCCAGTTCAAAAAATTATTTTAGCTTTTGGCCACTATTTTAATCTTTTATTTGTATCTTATATTTTCCGATTATTAACTATACATATGTATAATTGGTAAATGAATTGGTTTAGTTTATTTTTTTTTATAAGTTTAGTGGTAATTATAACTGTGAAATGTTTTATAGTGTGGAAATAAAATAAATAAATAATTCAGATTTAATAATAATTTTATAGAAAATGAGTGGTTTTAGTAATATACATTATAAAAGCAAATTAACTATAAATTATAATGATACGTATTTTGGATTTCTTTTTATACACTAGCAATACCACCATCACGTAAGTTTTTATATATATATGATTCCATATCGTATATCGATAATGTATTCTACACATACATCTCTAATGACAAAATTGTGGCGTCATTTAATTTGTTTTTTTTTAAATACGCATGTAGGCCACAAAACCTGTCTTGAATTTACAACAAAACATAAAATAAAATAACCGACATATTTTGAACAAATATAGTGAATTATCTAACAAAACATTTAATAATTAACTAATTTAATTAAGTTTTATTCACTAATTATCACGATTATAAAGAACTTGATAATCATGTATAATATCTACATAATGTCCTAATTATATTTTCGTATTTAATTAAAACAAAATATATTAATTTAAACATGTATGTAAAAATGACACTACTGCTTCATATTAACTACCTACTCTTTTATTAGCATACAAGTAGTATAGAAATAATAAAGCGGCCCCTGAGATGATAACAATGAATTATTCATTATCTCTCCGTGCACACGATATCTTACAACAAATTTCATATTGAAAAATACAAAAAAAATAATATTTAATTCCTCGAATCTCGGTTTTCTAACTTTCTCAAAAAAAAATATTATTTTTTTTGTATTTTTCAATATGAAATTTGTTGTAAGATATCTGTGAATGCGGCACAGAATAAATTCTGTTATTTCATTGGTAAGACCGCGGTTATATACATTTCTTTATTATACGAGTAAATATTGGTAACTCAATCCCGATAAGGTGATCTGTGTCCAAATCACAACAAGATTCGGATTGTTATCGATTGACAAAACACTATTTTTTTAATTTTTTATATATATATATTCTGTATTACTCTGTTATACATCCATACAGTATTCAAATTCCTCCCAAACGATGCTGATCATATTTTGTGTCACGGCATTCACGGCATCTATAATCCTGATTTTAAGCTCTTCCAAATCTATAGATAATGGTGATACATAAACTTTATCTTTTACATGGCCCCGTAAAAAATCACACACTGTGGATTCTGGGGAACTTCATGGTCAGGGATGAATCGTCAAATCATTGTCCAATCATCGTTATTTTGAAACTAACTGACGGCAGTTCACTAATCATTACAGAATTTATTAGCAACATAAAATAAACTAAAAATAAACTTGACTATCTTATCTTTCCATTGGGTCGTTAACATGCGATCAACGATTGCTGAGCAATATTATTTCGTAATCGAATTAAAACTTGTGAAATGTCGTATATATTAGGAATTACACAGTGTTTATGTTAAAATTATTTGAATTTATTATTGTAATATGGTATAAAATTTCAAATAAAAAGTAATTTTGTTTACTTTAATCTGTAGTATTGCCAGAAAAATCGTTACCTCAACTGAGTACCAATAAGAAAAATTGTGCCGTACCTATACTAAACTTCTGCGCAAACCTATGGTCATTTTATTCTGCATATTTTAAAGTTAATATTGAGAATATTAAGTATGAAAAAACCCCGAATATATTTTAGTAACAGAAGAGTGTAAACAAAAAATAAATAGTTTAATTATTGTTGGACTACAAGTACCATGTATAAACCGAATTCATATACAATTGACGAGTTTCGATTTTTAGATTTTAATGATATTGCGTGATATACGAATATAAATTATGATTTTTACATGTAAAAAATGTATTTCCTTAACAATACAGTTTTTTGTTACCTACATAATCATTTGATAATTATAAATATCTTTTAGTGATTTAATTAATTATTTTATATAATTGAATAATAAATTATACACTATTCAACTAAAGAGTATACCCGTTTGTGCATACCTGATTGAGCACTGAACGTTGTCGCCGTATGCTGTTTTCCTGGCTACCACCGTCATGTATACAACGAGTTATTATATTTATAACACCTATTGCCAAATATATCGTAATATACACGCATATGTATACTGTTCCAGTCAAATTAATGGGCAACATAGAAACATTAAATTACTTAAAACGTTAATTGTAGCGTTTATTCAAATTAAAACAGAGCATTTCTGCGAGTAAATACATGTACGCACTAAGGCCGAAAAAACAAAATGTTATAAATATTTTGTTATCTACGTATGTCGTATACTACGTGTGTCGGCGGTGTCAAGATTGATAGGCGAGTAGGTGGATAAAGCGGTACCGATAACCGGAAGTGGGAACCCATGCACAAAACGGACATGTTTTCGTCCGCTGCCGGTTATACTCTTAAGTTGGAGAAGGTATATAATGTTTATCATTTTTTTTTAATTCTTGTTTTCTCTAGAAAAAGACTTTGAATTAATGCATGGTATTTATTTTATTTTTTTTTAATTATGTTAACGTTATTTTAGATTCCGAGCGTAGCGAGGGGAGCTATGGGTTTTATAATCGTGTTTATTTTTAAAATTTTTTTTTTGTTCATTCTTCTAGTCTGTAGACGCATATATTCCTAGTAAGCTTACTCCGATGTATAAGGGTAGCACCTTTTATGAAAGTTGATTTTATTTGCTTGGTAAAACATAGGTTATTTTTGATTTTCGAAACAGTATTTAAAATAAAAACCATTAACTGGAAAAAAAAAATACGATTATATAACGATTTCGTTATTTTAAATAGGTAACTACCACATTTTCTAACACACATACCGCTCCAATTGGAAAACGACAAGGGACCTTTTATATTGAATTTTTTTTTTTAATAAGCGTTTTGAAATCCAATTTAAACAAAAATAGCAAAAAAAAATTATAACACTTACAGAACAATATAGGACTGTATAATAAAAGACCTTTTTGAAATATTTCAATGGCATTCAGACGTAAACTCAAGTACAGAATACATCAAAAACGTTTCAAACGAGACCATCTTTTATCCAACTTACTCAAATTTAAAACTTAATGTGAATGCTATATTACAATCTTCAAATATAGATACACTTAACTTTTATTATAATTTTCAAACTAGAAAATTCAAAAAATTTAATGTCCTTATGTTGTGCAATTAACCTAATGCCATCATCAGAAAAACTCTGAAAACTCAATAGTTCACACAATTCCCCCAATCATAAACGAAAATAAAACCAAACCTAATAGTTTCCGCTTGCACCATTCAATAATTTACCAAATTCAAAGATCTATCGACAAAATTATTCGAAAATTAAAAACATTTTCAAGGTGTTTTTCTCGATATCCCGTAAACTTCGTTCTTAAAATTCTAAAATCTTTCTTACCTGCCACAAATGTTCGTGTTCTAAAATTGATTCTTGAAGACAGATGTTTACCGTTAAACATAATAATTCTTACTTCCTTCATAATAAAAAAAAAAATAGCTGATACTGTGGATGGGAGCGACCACAGTTGTAGGCGAGAAGTATGGAATGTAGGATACATAAAGTTATTTCATTTATATCTGTAAGCAACGATAAACCATTGCTTGACGAAAAACGATTCCGAGCGCAATTCGGTAATACATAATTTGAATTGCCGTAATTTTGTTTGTGATTTTTGTTTAAATTTGATTGCAAAACGCTTATTGAAAAAACAATTATTTCATATTCAAATTTATGTTCAAAAAGTGGGGGTTCGTATTTGAAAATCAAAATTATGTACTTATTTAAGGTATTTTGAGAACAAAATAATAGTTAAACAATAAAAAACGATTAAAAAAAAAAAAAAAACGCTTAAACGATTCCATAATGATTAGAAAAAACAGAAATCAAATTCACTTAAATCCTCTGAGATACTTGCTGGTTAACGATAAAAAAATCAACTTGTATTAAATAAAAACAAATGTATATCTGTTTGTGCTGTATGCGTTAATAACAAATATTTTTTTTTTCATCCGTGTTATCTAGATAACTCAAGAATCGACAAAACTAATTAGATTTTTATGCTAAATATATCTAATAACCGAATTTTAAAGAATCGTATTTAATTTAATAAGGGGTGAATTCCAACTGCTGAACTTCTATGGATAACGTGGAACAATTTCCCAAAGTTTCATAGCGATCGGATGAATGGTGTAGTAACGCATAAAGGACAAACTGACATACATTTTTTTTTATACATATATTATAGAATGAACGATTTCAATGATATATTATATTATTATAACTATAAATCATTATTGTGTTATTATTTATTATTGTAATATAAATTATCATGATAATTTAAGAAAATTGTTAATTATCTTTTTGTTCTTTTATTACTCCAGAATTTAATCGTAAGTTATTTTTTTTTATCAATCTTTATAGTTGTAATTAGAGAGCTTGGCCAACTCATGAGAGTGGCCAACCCTATAATTTTTTGCAATATTATGCCGGTCATCTCTAAGAGATGATAGCAATAAGTTGGCTGCTAGTGATGGGAAAAATTCGGTTTTGTTGAAGTTTGAAAATCCGGATTTTTGGATTTCCGAATCATAATTCGGTGTATTATTTAAATTCCGGATTTCCGATTTTGTTCTAAATATGGATTTTGGATTTTTAAACATTGAATTAGCATTATTTTCTGTGTATACTTATTATAAAGTTTTCATTACTACATTTAAATTTTGTATAAAAAAAATATTATTTTTTTAATTAGAATAGAGAAATCTACAATGTTAAACCCAAAACTCGTAAATCTAAAATTCGGATTTTCGGATAATACAGATTTATGTCACATGTGACTACTCTTCTGCTATTTAAACTGCGTAGATGTCATTAATTCACATAATTTAATGTTCATATAACGATTTTTAGGTAATTTTATTAGTCCATTAATCAATATAACAATTATCTTAAATTTTCAAGTGTTTCTGATCTGCTCGAAAATTGTATCTACAATTGATCATATGAAAATAATACTTTTTGAAAAATTCGTAGAACTGAACTTCATGCATTATGCCTATTTCAATTCTATGGTTTTGTTTTTCCTTAAGATTATGTTATCTATCTATCTATATGAATAAAAGCGATAATGGAAATCTGTGTAACGCGTTGGCTTCGAAACTACTTATTCAATCGTCATGGAGTTTTTTTTTAAATTATTGAAGACCTCACAGAGCAGGTATTAGACGTACATTTTGTAAATAAATCTTGAAGGAGGTGATAGGGTTTCAGGGATTTTCGGCACGTTAGTTAAATTATTTTTGTTGATTTATAAATTACCACAGTAACTCGAATGAAAAATATTAAAAAAAAAATAATAATAATAAACGAAAATAAAAATGCCATAATAACTATAAAAACTTAAAATAAACAGTCAATTTGATTATCTGTCGGTCTATTATTGGCCTGAAATAAGATTCCTTGGTGACACGATTGAAAAAAATGTATAATACACTAAAAAAGTTTTATTCTGATGACTACACACTTTCCACCTATTTATTTTCGTTCAAAAATATCGATACGGATAAAACAAAACGGAAATAAAGATAAGAAGAATAAAACATTAGCACGGACAACGCCGGACGTGGAACATCTAGTAAAACTATTATATCCGTATTGAAATTAAAGGTTTATCGATGCACTGTATTAAATCATAAAAATCCGAATAACATCCAAATCATAGTACTCATATATATTTATATATATTTGCCCACTTTCTGCCAGCAATGTCTGCGCACGTATATGGTTTATGCACTTTCTGGCGTTGAAAGTGCTCTCGCTAAACGTCATTGCACGCTGTTTGCTGGCAACTTTATGTTACGGGAACCGTCTCCTTCCTTTGATAATTTATAATGTACTAGAAATTGTAGGCATGTTGTTAATAATGTGATTTTAGGCGAGTTGTACCTCAGATAAATTCAGCCAAACGATAATCACATTGCGTTTCAAATCTGCATAAACCGGTCGTCAAAGTATATATTGCTACGTTTTATGTAATATATACTATTAATTTGTTGAACTATTTAAAACAAAATTATATTAATAACTACTATTAATATTGCTGTTTTTCTATATTTTTTACTCTAAAAGAACAGGAAAGAGAACAACGTAAGTTATACATAAAAAATTTTAAATAGTATTCTAGTCGTTATTGGAAAGCCTTTATAATAGGTTAGTGGCCTATTCGATACCGCATTACGATTTTAATCATTGCTGATCAGACGAAATATTGTTACCCATCCTAAATATAATAAAAACAATATTTCTCAGAAATTGTCATGATTCAGATCCTCTCGTTAAGCATTTTCCAGTTTTTTGATTTAGATTCGTCCTATGTTCTTGTAACAATACCACAATATCCGTATTGAATTCAACCATTTATCGATGAATGGTACTGAATTATATCGTTATCATAATAAATTCCAAATCGGAAGACGATTGACAATGATATAAACTATTTTTATTACTGTATTCAATTTTGTGTCTATAAATCACTCAAATGTATGAATAATATTATTTTAATATTGGGTATTTAATTTGTGAAATGTCGCGGAACGGCTCTGTCTTGGTCTTGGCCCTTATCGGCGAAGGATAATAAACTAACCGTAGGTCACCTATAGTGTAAAACGATCTACACTCAAATACAATTAGTTTAGCACCGACAACAACAAAGCTCACGTTGGATATTGTATAATATAGATGATCCACCTGAAACAAATAATATTCAGATATAACAGAATAATTAATTTTTTATGTAATATATATATTATAAATAGAGTTGAATTATATAATAAAAAATTATAATGATCCCTAATGTAAATATTTGTTTTTTTTCTTTTATTACTTTTGCACCAGAAGCGCCTGAGCGACGAGGTATGTTTTTTTATTATATCATATAGTCAATATTAGAAAGCCCATATAATAAGTTAGTGGTCAATTTGATAACGTCTAGATATAAAATTGTCAGTGTACAACTAGATTGATAATGATGTGGAAATTCTCAACATTTGAACCTTATTTAAATAATTGAGGCAAAACGCTTTCCATTGTTTAATGCCAAATATTTTAGTTATAAAAACATAATAAATATATCAAAATAATTATAATTTTCATATTGTACATTTCAGTTTATATTGATTAATGTTATACAAGCAATAAATTATAAATGCCTTATATCGCTTAAAATAATTCTAGTCTATACTTGACTCTACACAATAATAATTCTGTATTTCTGTATTACATATCAATGAAGAACAAACAAATGTAAACCAGCACCTTCTTATACATTTTCAGGAAAAATAATATGTAGTTTATGTTACATTTAATTTCAGATAAAGAAAATTGAAAATGTTTTAACTATAAATATAATATAATTATATTTTTTGAGTTCTGTTAATTTAACTAATCATATACTAACTAATTATATGAATAACTTGTATTAAAATTAAGTTAAATCAGCATAGTAAGTAATTTATTTACATTTAACTGTACTCTAACCACGTTCGTTCGAAAAATTGAAAAATTCGTAAAAAAATATAAAAAAAGATTTACGATTAGCGAAACTCTATTTGCGATTAATTGCAATTAATTTACAATTATTTGGTTGTATTTTGAAGTGGATCGGACAAAGTGGGTTATTAGTCAAAGTGGGATATATTTTCATTTTTCCCCTTTTATTTTTCGGTTTTTCAAATTTGATGAGAAAACTCTTGAGAAAATCAAAAAATGACTTTTTAAAAGTACCGCCCTAGAGAAATTTCTTACAAGAAACATTGGTACACTTAAAAATTGGAACAAGATTACTGGTAAATAAGTGTCCCACAGAAAAAAAAAATAATATCCTGTAATGTTCAAAATCGGGATCAATTTTTTGATCGATCTACGATATCATGATCTCGTGATAAGTGCGTCGCCGCGAAACTATTAGGTCTATAGGTAGGCGAAAACCGATTTCCAATAAGTTCACCGACAATATTATTTACCCAGCGTGCCCGTTTATTATGATTCCGTGCGCGTCTGTGATTCCGTATATGTTCGTCATTATCACCGCACGGTACACCCGCGGAGTTGGCGACACCGGAGTCACGTGCTCACCCTACCACGGAGTATAGTAAATAAGATTCATTGTAAAGTTATCTAGACAAAATTCTCGGCCAATCACACTTACGTTAATAGTTCCCCACGTCTCCTATCCGACTAACTCGCGACGACGCAAGACTCAACCGGAGCGTTGACTTGGTCCAACAACGTACGACACTCAACAACGGACAATCAATTTTTCTTTATGGTGTTCCTGATTCAAATCACCATGTCCGAGTAGTCGCCCCAAGTCCCCCACGATGAACCTTTCCGGTTCGAAAGGCGTGTGAGTATTAAAATTTATTATTAGCCTTGGGCCGGCAATTTTATTTAGTTAATTTAATTAATTTAGGTTATTCAGTTTATATATTTTATTTCATGTTTCCTGCGCGTACGTTTCATTTTATATATTTTTATTTCGCAATTAATACGTATTCTGATATTATAAAATTATGTACATTTATTTTGGTATGTATACCTAGGTGGATACAACTTAGTTTTTCCCCATTTCTCTTTGGTTGAAGTTTTATGCCTCTGGCTTTCTTCAATAATAACTTACTTCTTTATCTCTTTCATTTACATTAATTTAATAAAAACGATATTAATTACCTCATAAACAATCTTGGTTATTCTTTATTTCGTTATATTATGAATGCATACCTATGTAACCCCTTTTCAGGTTTTACGTCTTCCAGCATGGTTCTAACTCCCGAATTTACAATTATAAATAAAATATTCTTATTATTACTTAGTTTAATTATTTTGCTTAATATTATTTGAATGAAAATCCTACGACTCCGACCTCGGTCTCGGTCATAGGTCGGTTATTCACTCACAATAATCGAATGATGCTCAACTCCCTCACGACGGTTGCCACCCCAACATCGTTTGGTAAGTGAATTTTCTGTGAGACCCACCGAGATCTTAGGATAGGTAGAGACAGGGAGGACGAGACGTCACAATCCCTGTAAAACCATCGCTCCACTTATCATCTAAAATACAATTAAAATATCTTGTTGCGTTCGGATTTGCACAAATAGAGGGGAAATTAATTTTGCTGTTACCAAAGATAGAGAGTTATTAAATTTAAAGAAGGTAATTTTAGAAATAGATCTAAATCCCTCCTTAAGAGTTTGTTCAAGCCATTTTTAGACATAAGGATTAAGGTTGTTATAAAATGAGTATCGTATACATTCGAATGGGGTCAGACCATCATACACATATTAGGCAGCTGCCCGCATTAAACAGTAGCCACATTAAGCAGAATCCACTGAATTCCTTTTATTACTTTTTATAGGCAAGCTAGAAAACGATGGGTTAGGAAGTAAGTTTATTTTTATTAATAATCAATAATGTCCTCAAAAGAAAGTTGATTTATGAAGATATATAGTTGATACGCCGTTATTACCGTACAAGGTTAGCTATAGTACAAGATTATATGATAAATATGAGGTAGCCATTTCCCTATTATATTTGCTCTCTAGTTGTCATTAGTGGACAAGCTTTGAATGTATAATATACATAAAATAACGGAAAATTAGGTATAATGATTAATGATTTCCCTATTTAAGTCTATTGAATAGAGTCAGATTTACACATTTAATAGGTTTCGGTTTTCTGAATATAATGATATAAATTAAATTTAAACTATGCTATTCACGTGCTTGAAACAATTTTATTTTAAATTAATTGTTTTCTGTAACATACATAATCATATAAGAGATACAAATATTGCTTGTTTCTTTTCTTTTTTTAACAAATAATATTTCACTTATGAATATAAAATTTTATTCGGAAAGATATTATATCGTAAAACATTTTTTTCGTTTATAAACTTTATTAATATACATGATATTTTTTTTTTATTTTTCGTGTAATATAGATTTAGTTTACAGAGGTATCGTTTGTATTTTATTAAATATATTTTTAATAATAAATAAAATAAAATAGTTTATTATTTAATAAGTGCATTTTTTAACATTGCAGAACATATTTTATAGAAAACACCGTGTAATGAATTGTAGATGAGTGTAAATAATAATAATTAACCGGGCCATAATTTGTGATAATTTTCGATAACAACATAACTGTTAGGCTCGAGTTATTTCAAATGTCGTGCCAAATTTACGTTTATTTAAAAAAAAGTAATTTGATTAATTCTAATAACGCATGTTTTAAATTTTCAAGTTTTTCTGATCTGCCAAATATTATATCCATAACTGACCATATGAAAGTAATATTTTTTGGAAAATTCTTAGAACTGAACTTTAAAAATAAAATCAAACCTAATAGTTTCCGCTTGCACCATTCAATAATTCACCAAATTCAAAGAACTATCGACAAAATTATTCGAAAATTAAAAACATTTTCAAGGTGTTTTTCTCGATATCCCGTAAACTTCGTTCTTAAAATTCTAAAATCTTTCTTACCTGCCACAAATGTTCGTGTTCTAAAATTGATTCTTGAAGACAGATGTTTACCGTTAAACATAATAATTCTTACTTCCTTCATAATAAAAAAAAAAATAGCTGATACTGTGGATGGGAGCGACCACAGTTGTAGGCGAGAAGTATGGAATGTAGGATACATAAAGTTATTTCATTTATATCTGTAAGCAACGATAAACCATTGCTTGACGAAAAACGATTCCGAGCGCAATTCGGTAATACATAATTTGAATTGCCGTAATTTTGTTTGTGATTTTTGTTTAAATTTGATTGCAAAACGCTTATTGAAAAAACAATTATTTCATATTCAAATTTATGTTCAAAAAGTGGGGGTTCGTATTTGAAAATCAAAATTATGTACTTATTTAAGGTATTTTGAGAACAAAATAATAGTTAAACAATAAAAAACGATTAAAAAAAAAAAAAAAACGCTTAAACGATTCCATAATGATTAGAAAAAACAGAAATCAAATTCACTTAAATCCTCTGAGATACTTGCTGGTTAACGATAAAAAAATCAACTTGTATTAAATAAAAACAAATGTATATCTGTTTGTGCTGTATGCGTTAATAACAAATATTTTTTTTTTCATCCGTGTTATCTAGATAACTCAAGAATCGACAAAACTAATTAGATTTTTATGCTAAATATATCTAATAACCGAATTTTAAAGAATCGTATTTAATTTAATAAGGGGTGAATTCCAACTGCTGAACTTCTATGGATAACGTGGAACAATTTCCCAAAGTTTCATAGCGATCGGATGAATGGTGTAGTAACGCATAAAGGACAAACTGACATACATTTTTTTTTATACATATATTATAGAATGAACGATTTCAATGATATATTATATTATTATAACTATAAATCATTANTTTTTTGCAATATTATGCCGGTCATCTCTAAGAGATGATAGCAATAAGTTGGCTGCTAGTGATGGGAAAAATTCGGTTTTGTTGAAGTTTGAAAATCCGGATTTTTGGATTTCCGAATCATAATTCGGTGTATTATTTAAATTCCGGATTTCCGATTTTGTTCTAAATATGGATTTTGGATTTTTAAACATTGAATTAGCATTATTTTCTGTGTATACTTATTATAAAGTTTTCATTACTACATTTAAATTTTGTATAAAAAAAATATTATTTTTTTAATTAGAATAGAGAAATCTACAATGTTAAACCCAAAACTCGTAAATCTAAAATTCGGATTTTCGGATAATACAGATTTATGTCACATGTGACTACTCTTCTGCTATTTAAACTGCGTAGATGTCATTAATTCACATAATTTAATGTTCATATAACGATTTTTAGGTAATTTTATTAGTCCATTAATCAATATAACAATTATCTTAAATTTTCAAGTGTTTCTGATCTGCTCGAAAATTGTATCTACAATTGATCATATGAAAATAATACTTTTTGAAAAATTCTTAGAACTGAACTTCATGCATTATGCCTATTTCAATTCTATGGTTTTGTTTTTCCTTAAGATTATGTTATCTATCTATCTATATGAATAAAAGCGATAATGGAAATCTGTGTAACGCGTTGGCTTCGAAACTACTTATTCAATCGTCATGGAGTTTTTTTTTAAATTATTGAAGACCTCACAGAGCAGGTATTAGACGTACATTTTGTAAATAAATCTTGAAGGAGGTGATAGGGTTTCAGGGATTTTCGGCACGTTAGTTAAATTATTTTTGTTGATTTATAAATTACCACAGTAACTCGAATGAAAAATATTAAAAAAAAAATAATAATAATAAACGAAAATAAAAATGCCATAATAACTATAAAAACTTAAAATAAACAGTCAATTTGATTATCTGTCGGTCTATTATTGGCCTGAAATAAGATTCCTTGGTGACACGATTGAAAAAAATGTATAATACACTAAAAAAGTTTTATTCTGATGACTACACACTTTCCACCTATTTATTTTCGTTCAAAAATATCGATACGGATAAAACAAAACGGAAATAAAGATAAGAAGAATAAAAAATTAGCACGGACAACGCCGGACGTGGAACATCTAGTAAAACTATTATGTAAATCTATATAAATTTAGGAATTTGTACCACAGGTAATTTTAGCCAAACAATTATGACATTATGTTCTATGCATAATTAAAGCAAGGTCGTTAAAGCAAACATTGCTACGTGTTATGTAATATATACTATAAATTCTATTGAATTATTTATTACAAAATTATAAAAATACCTATTATTAATATTGCTGTTTTCTTTATATTTTTTTGTAATAGAACAGCAAAGGCAACAACGTAAGTTATGTATATTAAGAATTTACAACATTATTATAGTTGTTATTAAAAAGCCAATAAAATAGGGTGATAAAATATTTGCTCTTAATTATTGCTGATCAGACAAAATATTATTACACGCAAACATAATAAAAACAATAGTTCTCAGCAATTGTTGGGATTCAGATCCACCCACTAATATTTAGTTAAACCACATTCTGAGTAAGAAATGAAATTGATTTCCTGGGCCGTTTCTTGTGATTTCATTAGTGAAACTTTAGACCTACTTCATAACTCGATCAATCAAGATAGCATAGACTTCTGTGCAATTTTAGGCAGAGGTAAATTCGTAAATGCTTGCACTGATTCTCGGTCAGGAATTAAAAACAATCGGTGCTTATGTAGGGTGTTTATGAAAAAGTGTTCATTTTTTCAGCTACACGAATGATATTAAGATTATATTACTGATTGATGTTTAATGTAAAGGCGAAAACGGAAAGATGCCATAATGTATTAATCGATAAACCTTATTGAAAATAACCCTCAACTTATTGGCATTGATGAGAATGACAAAAACGATATAAATATATAATGATATAGCAGCTGACTTTATATAAGCCCGCTAATATAGAATTATTTTAATATCGAAAAATAAAGCTCACGATGTTTATAGTATAATATACCATGTGATACATTTATGCGGATTCATTCGTGATTTCGGAGCGTAATGACTTTTTTTACGAAATAGTTTTCTAGAAATTAGAGGGATAAGCTAATTTTATAAAAGTCCAAGATAACAAATTCCATTAAAGTTTATACTTTCCGAATAAACGGGTGCAATCAATTCATTCATAGGTCAACGACATCAAAATAAAATTCAGATATTTATTACAAATTAATGGACGTTATCTGCATTATATGCTATGATTTTATTAGTTTAATACAAAATTATAATGATCCATATTTTTGATATTTTTTTCTTTTTACTATAGCACTGCCACCTCAAAGAACACAACGTAAGTTATATGTTAAATATTTCATTTGGTATTGCGGTTACCAAACTATGGTAGACGCCAATCTTGGGAGGCACGAGTATTTAGAATAGAAAGAGCAAGATAAATATTAAGATTTTTGTTAAATAACTTTCAGATTATTATTTCTAGATCAAATCGCTTATAACGTTTATTAATAGAAGACACATCTTAATCGCGTCACACGCATAATATCAGACCGTAATTAACAATATAATACATAGTACAACCTAAACAAAAAAAATTCCATTAAAGTTTATACTTTCCGAGAAAACGGGTGCAATCAATTCATTACATGACCTATGTAATCATAATAAAATTCAGATATTTATTACAAATGAATGGACGTTATCTGCATTATATGCTATGATTTGATTAGATTAATACAAAATTATAATGATCCATATTTTTGATATTTTTTTCTTTTTACTATAGCACTGCCACCTCAAAGAACACAACGTAAGTTATATGTTAAATATTTCATTTGGTATTGCGGTTACCAAACTATGGTAGACGCCAATCTTGNTCCATCAGCCGATGAGATATACCAATTTTAAGATTGTGTTTTTGTCCAGAAGTGAAGCAACTATCGAAATGCAGTACGACGCGCAGCGTGTTAATATTGCACCAGTACTATACTCAGACAAAAATTTCAAAATTAATATCTTGTTAACGGATTGACGAGCATCAATTATTCCAATACAACAATTTAAATTTTCTAAAACTCCCATCAAAATGTGGAATTTATTTCACATAGGTTACAGTTTAAATATCAAACGTTGATAGCGAATTTACACCTAAAAATATGAGTGACAAAAAACTATATAAATAGATAGTTGATTTGCAGCTAACTTTTTAAAAGTCCAAGAAAACAAATTCCATTAAAGATTATACTTTCCGAGTAAACGGGTGCAATCAATTCATTCCATAGGTCGACGACATCAAAATAAAAATCAGATATTTATTACAAATGAATGGACGTTATCTGCATTATATGCTATGATTTTATTAGTTTAATACAAAATTATAATGATCCATATTTTTGATATTTTTTTCTTTTTACTATAGCACTGCCACCTCAAAGAACACAACGTAAGTTATATGTTAAATATTTCATTTGGTATTGCGGTTACCAAACTATGGTAGACGCCAATCTTGGGAGGCACGAGCCTTTAGATTAGAAAGAGCGAGATAAATATTGAGATTTTTGTTAAATATCTTTCAGATTATTATTTCTAGATCAAATCGCTTTAAACGTTTATCAATAGAAGACACATCTTTATCGCGTCACCCGCATAATATCAGACCGTAATTACCAATAAAATACACGGTACAACATAAACATTGGCGCAAATTTTGTTTGAATTTCGGTGGGCTCAAAGTTAAATTAATATAAATAGATTCATGGGAGGATTCGCAATGTATACATTCCTACAAAGAAAATCATCACATTGAAATTATTTATAATTTGTAAACAACCGTAGTTAAAATTACAACGTAATTTTATAGGTTAAACGTATGTAAATAAAAAATAATTCAGAAAATATTATGCATTATGTTATGTATGCTGTTCAATGTTTAGACGAAAGTCGAAAAGAGCATTACGGTATTATTGTGGAACCTTGAATTTTTTGAAAACAAATAATTCTTTACCAATAAAAAGATGATAATTTTTTTATCAACCCCCTCCCCCGGAATTCTTTATTTGTGTATGCGCTTTGCAGATGATAAACTTTTAATTCAAATCCGGTCGTATAATATACGTATTATACTACTATAGTCGACGCATTCATTCATTTTTTTTATTTTATATTTCTATGCAAAGATTTGTATTTATATATTTATTAGAAATTCTTTAATTTAATAGGTTAGTGACTATTTCGATTCCGTATTATATTTTCAATTATCCTGATATGGCAACAAATTGTAACTCATGCTAATCCTAATAAAAATATCCCACGGAAATTTTCTAGGTTCAGTTTTACGTGTATTAAACCTGCCTCAGTTGAGCGAAAAATCTGTTAGTTTTACAAATATGTTTATTTTTTTTTATCTGCGCGTAACTTTTCTACCCGAAAACTTGCATAGATTCCTACGTATTGCACATTTCTAAAAAGGAATTGGATGTGTGGATGTAATTTTAAAAAGTAATTTTTCAATTTTTCCGTATAATTTTTCTAGTAAATGTTACAAAACGTTATGAAACATTAGGAAACCGGTAAAAACATAGGACAACTGGGAATATCGATACAACATCAATGAAATAATATAAAGCCTATTTATAATTTTACTATGGCATATATATTGTTGACAAAGTATCATTATCAACTAAACTCCGCTCAAAACCTTTTTTTCGTAAACGATGTTTTATCATTGCTTACAAATATACATTAATTTATATTAAGTACCAATAACAGTGACTGCACTCGTCCCCGTTATCCTAGGACGTCTTTTTTGATTTATTTTGTCCTAAATTTACGTATTAATACCACAATATCCATAGTGAGTTAAAATGTTTACCGATGCACTATGTATTGAATTATATTAATTTAATAAATTTGATCAAATCAAATGTATACTGATAAAGAATAATGTAAACTAATATATTTCTTAATTGTGTAATTTTCCTACAAATTGCTCATAAATTTATGGATATCCAATTATGTATAAACTTAAGAATACAATTTACAAATAAAAATCAATGATAGTACTATCATAACACAATATTTTGATATTTAAAACACAATGATGAACGTTAATGATGACTATTATTAATATTTTTTGTTTTTTTTTTTTTTTTTTTTTTTTTAATCTAGGTCAGCAAGAACCACGTATGTTACATCCTAAATTTTGTATATAGTCGTTATTAGAAATTCTATACAATAAGTTTGTGGCCAATTCGATACCGTATTATATTTTCGATCATTCCTGATACGATAATAAACTGTAACCTAAACTAAACCTAATAAAACAATATTTCTTCAAAAATGTTTATAATTCAGATTCACGCATCAATAATGTACTATTAATTGAATATAAGTTATAAAAAAAAATTTATCATAACACTGGGCATTCAATAAGTTTCTGCGGACTGTCGCGGAACGGCTCTCTTCGTAGTCTTGGCATTTTCAGTGTTTAAACTGCACCCGCACTGATAGCTAAAAATTGACCATTAGCCAACTACACTCCGTCCAACTTAAGAATATACCCGGCGATGGATGAAAACACGTTCATTTTCGCGCATGGGATCCCACTTCCAGTTACCGGTACCGCTTCATCCACTCACCAGCCTATGAATCTTACCAACACCAATACACATAGTGCACGACATGCATAGAGAACAAAATTTCTATACAAATTTGTTTTAACGGCCCTACCGCGTTACACGTATTTTCTCGCACAAATGTTCTATTTTAATTTAAATAAACGTTACAGTTAACGTTTTAGGCAATGTAACTTTTCTATGCAGCCCGTTAATTAAATGAGACAGTATATGTATGCGTGTATATTACGATTTATTTGGCGATTGGTGTTATAGATATTATAACTCGCCCTATACAAGACGACACCGCGTGGCGTACAAAATTATACGCAAATGGGTTGTATGAGCTGCGGCTGCATAAGAACCTGATACGGGATGTATGACTCGTCGCGGGATGCCTAAAGGAGCAATATGAAGAGTGGACCGTATAAAAAATTGTTTTAGGGTAGATGTAAGTACCTACGGTTCCCGTGTACCAGATGTAGGTACCGCCGGAAAAAGTACTCGTAACGAACAACAAATCATAACACAATGTTTTGACAACGTCTTTATATTAGGTACGACGCGCCGTATCAATGTCTAACTAGATTAAAAATAATACAAGACATGCATAAACATGTAAACATATTTTAGCTTCTTAGTGGATCGAAGAATCTTATGGTCTTACAAAGATGTTTTTTTTTTTTTATCTATGCAAAACTTTTTTACCAGAACATTCGCTCTGATTTCTATATATATATATATAAATAAATATAAATATAATAAATAATATAATATATATAAAAGGTTATTTTTCGATTTTCTCAAATATGTTCTTATACAATTTGAAAAACCGAAAATAACAAGGAAATTATTTGAAATATAATACAAAAATAATACGATTCTTTTTCCGGTGCACAACTTTTCAACCAGCAATTTTGCTCCAGCTTTTGTTCATCAAAATTAAAATATATTAATAATTAATGAAAATAATTAAATGGACGGTATACTTATCAATAACGTACATGTATGATTTCGTAAGCTGATCGGCCACCAGTTTAATCGCCATAAACATTTAAACTCGATAGCACCACCATAGTTGGTATCAAAAAAGTGAGCGCTGACGTTCGACGGGCGGAGTTAAAATATTGACGAGACCAGTTGTTCTCAGATTTATAGTATTGTTTTTTTTTTTTTTTTTTTTTTTTAATGCCAGGATGCATGGCGTTCCGTATTCAATGAATAAACATAATAATATAAAATAATAATGTACATATTGTATGATGTTATAATAAAACACGTACATACAAATTTCATAAATCGCACCAAATGATTTTGATAATCACCTGCAGCTATGAGGGGAGAACCTAAAATGAAACTTGTTCGCACTATTCGCACCAACAAATTTTATCGTTAAAACATTAAATGATAATACGTTATATTAATTTTCCTATTTTTTTTTTTTCGTATAATAGTTGAAACAAGAAATTTATTAGGTAAGTTAAGTTATAAATAGTCTATAATTCTTATTCTTTAAGCAATTGATATTACCATTTTATAGACTGTATAAAATTAAAACGTATCAAAAACACTGTTATTGAACTCTAATCATAATTTTATGAATTGTGTTTGTTTTAAATGATTATGATATTCATTGTCTGATTAATACCAAAATTATAAAAACTAATAATTTTCCTGTTTTAATTTTTATTCTAGCTTCGTTTGACGGTAAGCCAAATTTGAAATTTTTAATTTAAAATTTTACGTCAGCAATATAGAGCGTCTTTTAGCCTTTTATGTAAGTGTTATAACTTATCACTTTTAATATTTTTCAATTGGGTTTTGGATCAATGGCACACATATATAGAGAAAAACAATTTTTTTTTCATACCTAAAACAATGAAAAAAAGTAACTTTATTTATTTACATTTTAAAAATGTCAAAATAGCCATCTTGCACCATGCATTCAATTCCAATGTTTGGAAAGAACAATATAGAGGGGAAATTATATTTGTATCTGTAACTAACGATAATCTATTTCTTATTAAATACGATTCTGAGTGGGTTTAAATCAGTTGATGTAATGCTTCGAAAAAATAAATAATATGTCATATTGTGGTAAAATAATTAAATAAGCATTATATATTTTCTTTAATAATAGTTGTTTATTATATTATTGATTTTCCGTTTTTCCTACGTTTTTCCGGTTTTCTCATGTTTTTTTACGATTTTTCACATTGATTGGGAAATCTTTTGGAAATATCGAAAAACTATTTCACAAAATACCTCAACGGTAAGATTTCCTTTCTGATAATGTGCTATCAGTTTAAATCGGAGTAAAAATTCTGGTAGAAGAGTTGTTCACAGGGAAAAAAAAGCCTAAATATGTTTCAATTAAAAAAAAGATAAAAACACATCTGTCTATATTCAGTAGCATATTATTTTCCATACACCAATGATATAGGTTGATTAGATCCACTTGAAGTTTTATCGCATTATAAAACATTTAAATTTTTATTCATTTTAGTATCATTCGTAAATAGAATGCATTTTGAATTTTTTTATGATATTTGAAACATCATCAATGGAAATAGAGGAAAGAAATGGTGAGAAGAGGTCACCTTTAGGACACCTGATAATATGTGCATTTGATCAGAAATATGGTTATCGTATATTACTGCTTGGACTTGGTTGGTTAAGAAAGATTCGAATCGTGAAAGTAACGGATCGCTGAAACCGAACAAAAATAATTTGGTTGATAAAAGATAATAATTAACTCTGTCAAACGCTTTTTAAAAGTCCTTATAGATTACATCAACTTATGTCTGCATAATAATTGATTTCAAGATAAATTGTTTAAAAATTCCTAGATTGATGGTCTTGATATTGCATATTAATCAATGTATAATTTAAAAAATAAAATTTACAGAGAAAAATGTGTGATATTGTTATTATAACACAATAGTGAACGTTTCTCTGTAATATTTTGATACTATTTATACTATTGAGTTATATAATACAAAACTGTTATGTTACCTTTTGTTAATATTCCTGTTTTTCTTCTTTTTTTTTTTACTCTAGACAATGAACGGCAAAGACAACCACGTAAGTTGTATTGGAAATATTTAATATAGACTTTTTTTAAAAATAATAAAGTTAAATCTCATAAATATAAAAAAAAAATAGAATGAAAGAATGGGTCTGAAGCACGGTGGTCTGAATTTGGCTGAAATTTAGCTTGTCCCAAGACAATTTTAAAATTATGAAATATATGAATTATTTCTATAAATTTACTATAGATAAGTGAATGCTTAACAAACAAACATTGTACTCAACACAAACCTGATTAAATATTTTTTTAAATATTAATAAAATATATAAAACTGCATTCGTAAAAATTGCATTGACACATTGCCATTCGTATTTTAAATGGAATGTGTATACATAATTTAATTTTTTTTGTTTTTCAAAATATAATATGAATTCTACAGAAAAGGGTACTTCACTGTTATAGCTTTAAAAATGATTGTGTGGGAATCATTCAATTTTATTATCTAGAAATTGTATGTTTTTTCTATATTTATAACCTATAAAATCTCAAACATATTATTAATCGCTTTTAACAGTTTTTCATCGCATTCATAAATCATAGCATAACTTCTGAGTTTTTCAGATCCATAAGATCTCTTTGAAAAAATCTGTAGAATTGTAGAAATTGCAACAAGTTATAGCTTTAGAAATTCTTGAAAATTTAACAGGAGGTTCATTAAATCTTACATTATCCTAGAAAAAAAAATTAAGGTCATGTAATATTTTTTTTTATTAACGATTTTAGATACTACTTTCCGATGAAAATTGTTCGAGTAAAAAATTTCGATGAACAAATCTAATTTATTGAACACACGTGTATTGCCGATTTTAGAAGGATGGTAAAATCAGAGTTGAGCGGACTGACGAAGTTTCGAAATAATAGCTTTTTGAAGTTCAGATATTATACAAATATGACATGATTATATTAAGTAACTCTGTATTGCCTATATACAAGTGTTATAGTATAATGGTCATGAATAAATATGTTAGAAATGTTAGAATCGTGGGTTCAAACCCAAAGTTTGGAAACGATTTTTTTGTACTTTTTTTTTTACTTTTAACGAAATAGGAAAAGAACAAATGCATTTTGGGTGTATCTAAAGACCTAGCTATTGCTCGTTCGGACTATCTTAATCGAAAGATACCCCTCGATTGTTGTTTACACTTTTTTACCTGATATAGGTATAGGTTAAAAAAATATTATGACCTTTTGTTTTCAATGTACAACTTTTCTATTAGCAATTTCACTCTGATTTACAACGAGCGCATTTTTTCTGAAAGTGAATCTGACTGTGAAAGTTACCTTTAGGTCATTATTTGATTTTTCTAATCGTTTCCTTAGAAATGTTATAATCCGTGAAAATACGCAGGAAAAACGGGACAATCGATACAATATTGAACAATTATTATTAAAGAAAATATACAAGTTTATATATATTGTTGACAAAACATCACTATCAACTGAAATACTCTAAAAATAGGTTTTTCGTTAACAATAAATTATCGTTGCTTACGGATATATATATTAAATACCTATAACAGTAACTGCACCAGTGTCCATTATCCTAGGAAGTATTTTTTTCTCATTCAATATTCTATAGGCTTGCACGTATTCCATTAAATAAACATCATTTTCAACACGAGCTCAATATAATCTATAATATATTCAATAAAAGTAATTTCAGTTTAAATACTATTTAAATAAATTTGTAAACGTATTAAATTACACAATTCACCAAATAATGGTATTGAATATTATAGTATGAAATATCAAAATAATATGTCTAATGAATTCACTAAAATTCTTAACAACACTTTGTTATAATGTAAACATCAAAAATGTTAATATGATTGATTGAATGAACAATGGCACTAAAAACTTTACAAAAAATCGCATTTCTTTTGAATATGCTGATGTATATAAACTTAAATGTAATTATAATAAATTATGTATAGATAAGACAAATTGAAATTTTAAAATAAAATGTAGAAACCACGTTTATGATATAAAATTAAAAAATCTGCCCCTTATCGAAATATTTTTAAACATGTTTTAGAAAATAACCATAGTATAAGTTTTGATATTAATACAGACTTAGAAATATTAAATACTCAAAATAACATTTACGTTTATTCAGTTGTAGAAGAATTACAGATATGCAATGAGATAAAGCAAAATAATTTTAATAATAATTTAAATGTCCAAACCGATTTAAAAAAAAAAATAGTTTATATTTCTTAACACTATGGCTATTGGCTAATACTAACTCATTTTAAATAACCTCGCCTGCCTATTAAAATAAATTATTTCTATTAAAAACGACTTATTTGTATAATTTAATTCTATGTATTCCTTCATTTTATTTCTATATTCAGTTTCGTTTTTCATTTAGATTGTGATACACCTGATAAAAGGCACGTATTCAGGGAGGAGAGGGGTTCAAAATTAATAGTAGTGTTATTTATTTATAAATATTGATAATATTGATTGTATTTGTAATAATGTTTATTGTATCTAGGCGACCCTTTCATTCATTTTATTTATTTTATATTTTTATACATCAATTTGTATTTATATATTTATTAGAAAGCTTATAATTTAATAAGATAGTAGTTAATTCAAAGAGAACCGTTTTACATTTTACATGGTTATATAATATAATATAGACTAAAAATAGGAGATAAGAATATCTACTAATTTATTTATACTTTTTATGATAGAGTTTAATAAATAGGCGACAAACGTATCGTAAATCGTGGTTCATAAAGCAAGTATATACTCAAATCAGATTTTTAAAAAGTACTAAAGGTTTTAATCATATGTCTTTGCTTTCTCTGTAACTACTTTATACTGATGAATTTTTATAACTGAAACCTGTTGTAAAAACGTATAACTATATATAATTTTGTAGGCTTTTTTTTAGTATTTTATATAATATTTTGTGCTGTTTAGATAATATTATCATACCTCTAATAATGTTAACATCAGTTAACAGTGGCGTATATAAGAAGGGACACATTGGGTTATAGACCCTCTTAATGAGAGTATTGTGATCCTTTCGCACAGTGAAATTTATCTTAAATATTTTTTATAACTGTAATATTAATTTTTTTTTTTTTTTTTTTTACATTAGTGACACGTAATACGTAATGTCTCAATTTTATTACAGCAATATTACAATACTCAAGTTTGAATACATAAACTTCATGAACATGTATGAACATGGTAGTGTAACATGACATTTACTATTTTGCATTGGAATTTTGTTTACTAATTTATTATTAAGAGTAATTATATTTTTATTGATACTTCTTTTCAAAATATTATAATTTAATTAGCAATAGGCATGTATCATTGTAATATTACATACTTAATATTATGTATGTAATAAATTTAATAATAAAAAATGCGTTTGATAATACGAAATGTTTAATTATATTAATCTGTTACAAATTTACAATTTAATCAATGTAATTTACACAGTTATAAATATAATACAATTTAATGCAATGTATTTTACATTTTTTATTAATCAAAACATTTAGTAGAAAAATGAAAACGATACAGTGAAGTTTCTAGGTCCAACAATTTCCTCCAAAATGGTTCTAGGCTTTATAAAAGAAAAAGATCATCAACGTATTCTAGTATACTCTTCTTTCTCTATAACTAAACCTACCATATCTTCGTTGAACCAAACATTCTCTTAGATCCCTCTTGGGTACTGTTCATTCAATAATTTCTAAAAATTATTTTCCTTCTATCTCCCTTTTCTATATCCTCTGCATTCGTTAATATATTTTTGTCTTCAGTTTTTATACACCAAATGCCATTGAAAAATGAAATCCCTGGACCGTCCATCTCTAACCTTGACCAATCGACAATCTTCTTTTTCATTTTTCTTTGTTTATAGTCCCTTATAAAACTCATCATATTTCTTCAACTTTGTTTTTCCTACCACCCTCTTATCTTTATTGTACAGCCTTTCTTACTCAATTCAAGCATCTACTATTTTATTTTGCTGCCATATCTTATTTTTTTTTCTTTTTAGCTATAACTCTATAAACTTATTTTTTCTAACACCAAGTTTCTTTCCAACCTTTCTCCTTTGAGGTATTTTTAATACAAGTAACCATCTTTTCCCACACCTCGTAAATATTTTCCTCGACATTTTATAAAATCATATTTTTGTGTCTCCCATTAATTTCCACCACCAGACTCGACTGCATTCTTCTTTTGTTTTTTATTTTTTATATACTCTACTCACAATACTAAAACTTTATGACCATATTACCCTATATTGTGTTATTACACTTTCACCACATATACATCTAGGCGAGTTGATTATTCTCCATCACCTTTTAAGCACAAAATATATCTCTCGATTGACTTTAGCATAAACTTATCATAACGCAGGTCGTGGTCGTCAATCAGGACAAAAAATTGCCTGTAATTCCTTTTAATATAAATACATGCAATACATTATAGCCCTCGATCGATTTGATCATAAACTCAACACAACGCTGGGTGTGATAGTCAATCGGGACAAATAGTTGTCTGTACATTCATATAGTACCGAGTATATTGAATTACAAACTCAATGTTACACTCAGAGAAATCCACATCTATAGTATAGGCAAAATACAATAAGTGTCTTTTGACTCACACTGGCTATACGACAATACGTCATTTAGAGAGTCGTTACTCTAATCGGCAAGATTGGCAAGTCGTCACTTATAATTAGTAACCCAACGTCTCAATATAGCCATATAATTACCTATTGACATGGTAGAAAACCTACTTGTGTTTATTGTAACTATTCATCGAACCCTACGTATCCTTATATTTTGAGCATCGTACTTCTTGCAAACTTCAAGCAGAATACCGAGGTAAGTGATAATTTATATATTTTCGTGACAGAATATCACGTCAAATAGATAGATGCAAATTAACAATATTCTCGTACGATAGTTAGCTTTCGGTCAAAGACCGTCTTTTTTTACTATTGTGCATCGATTAATTTTTTACAGAGCTTTTTAATAATAACAAATATGAAACTACTTTTAGGTAGGTATTTGAAAAATACCATAAGAAATGTTTAATATTTTACTACGCGTGTTTTCTTTCACAACCCTAGTTTAATAATTAAATTACTGTTTAAAATTAATTTATTTTTTAGGTATACAATAATTAACCTAAATCTACAACCAAACAAAATCGTTTTTCATTTGTAATTATTTATCGGCCATACACTGTACAAAATACATTCCTCTGTATATTCTACGTTTCCAATTTTTCACGAACACAGTATTGAATCTATATTGTATTATCTCGAATTGTATATTTCCAAATCCTATAAATAAATTTTTCCTGAATAATATATTTTAAGTATTTAACAAAATTGTTATCAATATAAAAAATTATTATTTAGTAAACACATAATTTGAAGTAAAAACATTCGGCCATTTGAATAGGTACACATTAATCATTTATACGAAGGCAATATTATTATTATTATCGCATGATATAATATCCAAGCGTTATAAACTAGATACAATTATATAATTCACAAAAACAAAAAAACAAAATATTAAACATTAAAATTAATGCTATGGGTAACTTTTCCATGTTGTCATCAGTTAAGGTGTCTAAAGTTTGATGTCAAGTGTCCTTATCCATTTGATCGCTTTATCAATGGCTTCGTGGAGTTCTTTCACTGTCCCGTTAAAGGCACGGAAAGGGCAATCACTTATTATGTAGAAGATAAACTGTAAAGAGTGGCCGCAGTCACAGTCTGGACAATCTCTTATTTTCCATTTATGTAGAATCTCTCCGGAGGGGCCATGTCCTGTACGTAGTCGATTCAGTATCACCCACTCGTGGTGAGCTATATGTTGTCCAGGGACCGGGATATCCAGGCTCTTTAATAGACTGAAGTTACCTATGCTAGATTTCTGACATTCTAGTTTCCATTCATTCATACAGTCATACTGGTGTTCAATGATTTTTTTGTAGTTAGATAAGCAGGTTTTCTAGATTTCAGTCTAAGGTTCTGGTTCGAAGTGTCTTGATGCAATGGAAAGAATGTGTTTGATAAATATGTTGACCATTCTCTACGTGCAAATGTTTAACGCTGGATATATGGCAGTAAAACGTTACAGAGAATTGGAAGCCATTCTGTCGAAGTCGATTTGACGTCCTAGGAATCAATGGTTCAGCCACAGTTATGTGTAATTTAATTTATACTTGTAAGCAATGATAAAATATTGCTAACGAAAAAACAATTCTAAGCGAAATTCAGTTGATAGTGATACTTTGTTAATAATATACATATCATAAAATAAAAAAATAATGAAATAATTATTATATATTTGCATTAATAATATTTGTTAAATATTTCAATATAATTTTCCATGGTTTACTCGGTGTTTTCCTGGTGTTTACATTTGCTGATAATTCCAAAAATGAACTTCTTAAAGTATCATCCTAGTCAGATTTTCTTTTTGAAAAATTGCTATCATTTTAAATGGATCAAAATTTTTGGTAATAAAAACATGTACACAGAAATAAAAAGGCTTAGATATTTTTTTACTTATACCTTCATTTCGTACATTTTAAATTTTCCGACATTTTATCCCGGTTTTTCCCAAATATTATGAAAACCACTAAGAAAATCAAAATATGATCTCCCTAAATTACCATGGCGATAAAATAGCCTTTCAAAATTCAAGCAACATTTCTTCTACGGAAGTAAAATTCCCGGTAGGAAAGTTTGCGAAACAGATCAAGGGGTATCTTTTGGTTAAAATTATCCTAGCTAACAATAGGTGGTTCTCTGGGAAACATTAAATGCATTTGTTTTTTCCCTGTAAAGGTAAAAAGGAAAAATAAGTGCAAACATTTCTATTTTTATAATCTGGGTTCGCACCCGTGAAATCTAGTTTATTAGATATATGTTGTTTTATGTAACATTAAATATAATTTTAGATTCTGAGCATAGCGATGAATGTATTGGTTTTAAAATGATGTTTATTTTTATTCTGTGAACAATTTGTCTACAAGCATTTTGCTCCAATATACAATGATAACACTTTTTCTGAACGAAAATCAGACTGGAGAGGTACTTTGAGGAGATATTTTTTTGGTATTTCCATGAGTTTTCTCAACAAATGGAAAAAACGTAGGAAAAATGTGAACATTGGCACAATATTAAACAAATATTACTAAAGAAAACATATAACGCATATGTAGTTTTACCATAATATGACATATATATTGTTGACAAAGCAACACTATCAATCGAACTTCGCTCGGAATCGATTTTCGTAAGCAATGGTTAATCGTTGCTTACAGGTACATTAAATAACTTATAACAATAGCTGTACCCATCGCCATTATCCTAGGACAGTTTTTTTTAAATTTACTTTATGACAATCTTTATACATTTTGACCAACCATACCCGAAATAAAAATGTTGGTGCGATCTTGGAGGAAAGATCTGTGTTAACATTGTAGGGATAAAATCTGTGTGGCTAAGCAAAAATAGTTAAAAATTGTACTTGAGTTTAATCTTAGGTTTTATTTAATGATGTAAAGGTGAAGTTAAAACGATGGTAAGTGATAAAAAACAAAAATTTTAAATATTGCACCGAATTAAAGATAATGCATTTATTTGATTTTCGTTTGAGGCACCCTGTATATATTAACCTACCTTATTAACCTAGTATGAGTGTTCTATATGACGTACCTCGTTGAACGCTGTACAAAAATCACATCAACATAGTATACTCGCTGATTGGTGATGCTTTTAAATAACTAGATAAACTTACACGTATTGTAAAAAACCTATTGTCAATTTAAAAAAAAAAATTAAGCTATGACTAAATGTTTAGTTAACAAACATTTGACATTAAACGTCGAACAAATAACAGACACGGTAAAAATCGTGTAAAGATAAACAAGTATGCTTTACGCTTGCGATTTGCCGTAGATTCAATTGTGAATGCAAAAATAAAACTATGCAATCTAATACTAATATTAATATCTAATCTAATACTAATATTATCTTTTTAACCTTATCCTTTCTCATAAAGTATATGTTTTAAAAATTAAAAGGTTTTACCATTTTCAAAAAAATAAAATAAATATAAATACCTATATATACATTTATTCATATACAGTGAAATCTGTAAATCCCGGACAATCTCGGTCGCCGTAATTTTGTCCGTTACTTAGAGGTGTCCGCTATTCAGAGGAAACACAAATTATCGAAAATAACTAGGAGAAATTAATAACTATGAACAACATTTCATAACAAAAATCAGTTACTTTAGATTGTTTAAGAACTCGATTTGTCATAAAATTACCATAAAAGTGTCCGTTATTTAAAATGTCTAGTACTTAGAGGTTTTCCTGTATAAAAATGGTGAAAATGTCGTCATTCTCGAAAAATCGTTTGCTATTTGAAGGTGTCCGTTAAGGGAGATTTCGCCGTACATATATTATTGCTAACTGATGTGAATTTAACATAATTGGAAATACAAATATAGCGTAGCAGAAAAATATATCTTACTATAGTGCATTACATTTGATGTAATTGAAAAGCAACTACGTTGGTTATGAAACCAACCTAATTAATTGAGACAAATTGAAAAAAAATAATAATTTAAATACTATTGTATTAAACAATAAGTCTTGGACTGTAGGGTGTTAAACAACACCTATGCTATAAATCAAACATTACACTTCTTAAAGAATCTTATCAAGCATCTTATTTTAAGGAAGTCACAATTTTAAAAAGAGCTAATACTGGGAGTACGTGCGGCCAGTGTTATATGTGGGTAGTTGGGAAGGTGTGAAACATAAATTTATTTAACTAATACCAGTAATCAACAGTAAACTATTGATAACGAAACACCATTCGGAGTGAAGTTCGGTTTTAAATGTTTTAAAGGCCGTAATATTTACGATATTTGTCAAAATATGATTTTAATGCTCTTTAAAAAAAAAAATTACGTTTCAGTCAATTTGGTTTTTTTTTCACCACTAGAATCAAAGAACTATACTTTCTTGATCATTAACTCATTAAAAACAACAATAAAGATATCTTATTATATTTATAGCGGAATAATAGTTTATATAGAAAACATTTACTATTCGAATTAAAAATAAAAGTTTAGTAAAAGTAAAATTTTCCTTTTAATTGTTTATTCCATTTAATAATTAAAATTTTTCTTATTCAATATATTATCTAAATATAATAGGTATTTTTTTATTTTAAGTTTAAGAAGACAATTTAAAATAAATACGCTTAACATGGAATTTAACACGGTTTTAAATTTATCTATAAATATGGGATTTTAGAAGAAATATTATAACCTAGATATTCTTTGTTGATTTTCAGTTTTATTTAAATGATATAAAAATTATAAATTATCCAATAAAACAAATATCTAAAAAAAAAGTTGTATTGAGGTCATTTTTACGGTAAAATTAATTTTTTATATTTATTTGTTAAACTGTTTATCGAGCATAAACGTAATCGTTCTAACTTTTGGAAACTAGGTTATCGTTTTTCGAAGCGACCAATCGAATTGGTCTAACCTTTAATTGCATCAAATCCATATTTGTTAAGTATACATCAATATGAATATTATTTTTAAATAAACAATAAATTATTTACGTAATTCATTTATTTTTAAATGCTACTATATAAGGCGGAACAAATATATTTTTTTCATAATTTGTTCTTTTTCATTAATAGTACAGTACCAACCAAATATTTATACATTTAAAATGAAACGTTTAAGCATAATTTTTGTAATTATTATTACAGTCTTTGTCTATACATCACATGGTAAATATAAATATTTTATATAATTAAATAAATAAGGGATAGTAATCTGTAAGCAATCATTGTGAAAAATGTGCATATTGAATATTAATTTATGGTATCGTATTTGCTTAACTTTAAAATAATAGTTATAATAATATTGAGGTGATCTGGGGACGGATGCGGCCCCTTGTCGGTGGGTAATTGGGAAGTAGAATTACATAGACATAGAGTTTTTAATTTATACTTGTAACTTACGATTAACTATTGAGAACGAAACACGATTCGGAGCGAAGTTCAGTTATACTTTTTTGAAAGGTCGTAATATTTAAAATTGTCGTCAATATGTGACTTAAAAATACTAAGAAAAAAAAATATTTTACATTTAATTAAAATTTGCTCTTTTGATGACTAAACACCACTTATAAAAAACATCATATTAATATTTTCAAACATTTATGTTAAGTCTATCAATTTATCAACAGAGTAGACATTTTAGTTATATATTATTAAAACTGAAATATTTTTATAAAATAAGATGTCTTATTTAAAATTTTATTTTTTTTTTTACTCTAGGGGCACCTGGAGGTAAGTGAATTTGTAATATTATAATTAGTGTTTACGATTGATCTGATTTTATTTCTGCATTTAATTTACATATATGTGGATATGAAAATAGATCATTTCATATATTTTTTGTAATAAATTCATCATATATTTCCTTATATTTCGATACTACCATTTGCCCCCTCTAATATTATTTAAAGTTATATGAATAGTTCGCAAAATAAAAATGTTTATAAATAGCTCATCAATTGCCCAAAATTTCAAAAAGTTTTACTAATTTTTAAAAAGTAAATCTAAGTTTTTTGTCAACATTATAGGTCACTAAGAATATTTTTAACTGAATTACATACTTAAATACAAAATTAAAAATACTAAGAGAATTAATTTCGTACATTTTCCATACGTATTTTTTGGTTTTGCTGTATTCTTAAAAAAAACATAAAAAAAATTAAAACTATTTTGGTCACAAATAAGTTAAAAAATTTAACGAAAAATTTCTCTTATTATTTCTTTATTAAAGCAATATTTATGTTAGAAATCTTAAGCTGTACAAATTTAAAATAATGAAATTTTTGTGCCGTA